CTTCTGTGACTTCTGCAACTCACAATATATTTGATTCAGAGGGATCTTCTAAAAACTGCAAAATGTCTTTACTGAAAAAAAAGAAAAGTAAAATATCATGCTTCCTTTTGTTTCCTATGCATGTGATCAGACATAAATTACTTGGATTTGAAAGCACCTTGACCTTTATAAAGATTTACCCTTCAAACTAGGACACCCACCTTATTTGTGTTGGTGTTACACTACTGACTCAAGAAATTCCCATTTTACTAAAGGGTGTGTGGAGGCAGGTAAAGGGGAAGAAGTTATTGAATACTCAAGGATCAGGCAGAACCAGGAAGGGCTTGTAGAACCAGTACAGGAGCATGCACAGAGAAAGGGCCTCCTTCCTTTAAGCCTTGAACAAAAATCACCAAATTTCCAGTGGTAACAACTCCTTCTGCTCACTTAAAAATTGGTCTGTATTCTTAATAATCTTTGCAGATTAAATTTCCCATAATTTTACCATATCTAATTTATGTAACCCTTAGTCCTCATACTGCAAAACAGGTTTTTCCATATTAAGTTCATGTGGTAGAGTGGTTCCTTATTATCAACATAATAAGAAAACTTTAGGCTTACATAAACACAGCCAATCAATCATTTCTTAATAAGGATGATAGGAAAAGCTTTGCACATAAAGAAAATACCACAGACCTATTATGAATTGGGGAAGTGGTAACTTGTGTTATTAGCAAAGGGAACATTTTAGCCATCTACTCTCTTTCACCTGATATTTGATAAGCAAAAATATGCATTGGCCAAAAAATTAACCAGAGGTTTAATGTGGTCATAGAGGATATAAGTAACTGGCCCACTACCTTAGTCAGTTTGGTTTGCTACCATAGACTGGTAGCTTAAACAACAAACATTTATTTCTCACAGTTCTGGAAGCTGAAAAATCTAAGACAGTGCTGGCAGACCTGAGGCTACCTTTCTAGTTGGCGGATGGCCTGTTTCTCAGATCCACACAGGACAGAGAGCAGAGAGAAAGGGAGCAAGATCTCTCCTGTCTCTTCTTTTATGGGTATTAATCCCATTTATAGGGGCTCCACCCTCATGACCTAATTAATTCCCAAAGGCTCCACCTCCTAATGCCATCACATTGGGAATTAGGCTTCAATATACAAATTTGGGATGGGGCATAAATGGTCACCCCGTAGCACCCTCACTGAGAGGGAACCTATAGTGTCAGTAATATTGATCAAGGAGGGTGTTCAGAAAAGGCTGCTAAGTGTTATTCAATAAACTTTTTATAGAAAGTTTTAATCATTATAGAAATATGTCTCAAGAATACACACACAACTGTATCTACATACAATAAGTAGATAATCTCATACACACACGTGCCTATTTAAATAAGGTACATTTCAAACATAGAGTTCACTCATACAGTCATATGCAAAACCATTTCCCAAAGAAAAGAGTTTTAACAACACAGCCATTAAATTTCCTCTGCTTCACCCTCTCTGTGGCTCCCAGGGCAATGGCAATGAGGAGCTGAACTAGCTCAGAAGCTAAAATGATGTAGCTCTTGTTATGAATGGAAGAAGAGGAATGAGCTCATTATGGTCTGATGTACTCTGAAAGGTACAGCTAGGAATAACATAGACTTCTATTCTGTATGTTTTTATCTCAAGTACATTTATTTCTTTTACTGAAGATACATCTTATTAAGGAAGAGGTGTATTCCTGCATATGAAGACACAAGGGCTCCCATTTACACTTTGCTGACTCTTCTCACACAAATTCCCTGCCCAGACCAGATCATTCAAGTTATTCATTCTGCGTGAAGGTTACTGAGTGCTTGTGCGTGGTGGGCACAAATCCAAGGGCAGAGATGGAAGAATTAACAGGACAGAGGGTCTCTTTCATGGAGTGGGGTTATGAGAGAGGAGAACATGGGAGTCAATAATAGGCAATAAGCAAGGAAACAGATGACATAGTTTTAGACAAAGTACAATGAAGAAGTTAGAATGCCTTTGTCTCCTCATTCTACACCATCTCCCTTGTGCACTTAACTCTTAATGACGTTTTCTAACCTCCACCCAGCTCCGATTAGACCATTTCCTCTCTTTGTAGACCTGCTTATCCTACCTTGGCTTCTCTCACACCACTTTCCTTGCACTTGTTTACCTGTCTTATCTTTCCCAATGAGATTGCAAAGCCTCTTTGGAGTAAAGGTCAGATATTTTTTCCTGATGGTTCTGTAGTTGTAATTCCTGGCACAGTCTGTTTTTATTCACCATAGAAATATCTGATAAGTGCCAATTAACAGAACTAATGTGTTGAAGGAATAAAGGAGCCACTAACAGTAGACCCGCATTGGCTGTTACTGCACAACTTAAGGCTTAGTAGGAATGACTATGTTGATGTGATCACAGTTTTCTACAAAGATTTAATGACATTTTCATGAGCACCATGTTCTATTCTTTAATGTAGTAGCTGTCATGCAGTGTACCATTTTTTAAAAAACCACAACTTAGGATTCATACAACTAAAGTAATGTCAGCCAGAAATCAAGCAGATAGACAGTGTAGTAGAAGTTAAGATGTGATCCCAGAGGCATCAAAGAAAGATCTTAGATTTTCCAGAACTTGCTTGCAGAGACAGAGTGGTAAACTGTATTACTCAAATAGCAATACAGCACTAAGAACAACCGGCTACATAATTTGAGGCTGCTCTCCAATCTTGGAAAGCACACTGTGACCTTCTGATGGCTTCGGGCCATCTATCAGTGGGCTCTAACCAGCTCAAGTCTTTATTCAGAGCCTCCCAGGGAACTGCCAGTTCCAAGGTGGGCAGAGAAAAAACTTTTGGTATTGTGATAAGAAAGAGCTTATTAGGATGATTTAGGACCCATCTGCCTAATAACAGGCATAGTACAGACCAGAGTGCAGACCCACAGAACTGATTGCTTTGAACATTAATGAGAAAATACCTTCTGCTGTTGCCAAAGCAGTTACAGAAGAATCATACTAAAAGCTCTATTAGACATTAAATATCAGACTTGGATTTTATTAAGAGTTACATCTAAAAATGTTGCTTATCAGGGGGTCAGCCTGTCTTCACAAATGCAATGTGTTCCTCTACACTCCATGATGATTTTTCTCTGGCACAGACAATTCTAGGGACGTGGGTTAACTCCTGAGTCTTTTCTTCCACTTTCAAAGCTAGGACCCAGCAGAGAACAGGGGGGCCACAATCCCAGCGGAGTGCACGGAAGCCTGAGCTCCTCGGTGAAGCAGCTAATAAACACCTGCTGTATTTTCAGCCACAGACTTATTTTTTTACTTAAGTTTAGGAAGTGAATAGCAAAAAGTAGTTTCCATTTTTATTTTGCATGTGAGAAATTTGGACCAAAAGTGCTGAGTTAGTGAATCTCAGACAGAAGGAACATGTTCTTAGGGATAAAGCAGTGGGTTTTCATGAGTTTCTGTATGTGCTTTCTTCATCAAAGGATAAACAAGAGTTGATATTGATTAGTCGATTAGTAAAGTTGGATCAATAGAGGGCAAGCCCTGTGCTATCATTATAGCACCCATTATTCCTAAAATTAAAAATAAATACTATTTATTGAGCACATACCATGTGTCATCCAATATATTAGGTGTTTCATGTAATTACATGATTTCATTCTCTCAACAACACTATGTGGTATGTTTCATTGTCCCACTTTCATAAATAAGGAAACTGAGGCTCAGAAATTTTAAGTAATATGCTCCAAGTCTTATAGGTAGTAAGTTGAACAGCCAGGATTGGAAACTGAATGTGTATGACTCTAAATTCTTTCCAATGTATTCATCACCTTGAGAAAAGTTAATTTCAAAGATCAATACCCCTGCCCCACGTTTTAAAGGATAAGGCTTGACTGTGCATTTTAAACCTGAGCTATGAAAATTGTTTAGAAGTATTAAATCATAATGGAATATTTAACGATTTAATTTAAATGCATTTGATTGAGTTTATTTAATCTAACTAATTTGCATAACCAAGTCCAAGCACATTGTTGGGAAAACAGACCTGCTAAGAGCACGTTGATTGCCTTGGCCTGTCTGGCCTCAGCCTGGTCCCTCAGCCCGGAGTGACAGCACTCTGTGGGCTTGTGAGCGCTCAGGCACAGTGCGCTCAACAGGAGAGATGGGTTCTGGGGCTCACATGACATACTGCAGAGGATACTTAAAACAGTGCCCAATATCAGTGTCAAAATGGAGCTTACTAGAACAAATGACCTTCAAGAGAAAGAGGGGAAAAGAGTGGATGGGAAGAGAGAGATATTCAGGGCCTGAAGTGGGATGTGTTATGATAACTGTGCTAAATATCTTACAACCAACAAAAGTACACTAAGTTATTTCCTCAGAAGTCATTCAATCTAAGCATGCTAAGCATCTCTTACTTACCATATTTGGATGTTATTTGATTCACTCTAAAGGAATGAATACCAGTGTGATTTACAACAAATCCTATTACAGCATCCTGATGACTCTAACATTCTTTTTTTTTTTTACGTACCTGATTGTAGTTTCAAGCCCCTATTTAAGACAACCACAATCACAGTGCAGGACAATTACCTGGATAGATCTCATGGTGTGACACTGCACACCTATCTGTTGAGGTGAACTCTCTTTTGCAGGTTTCTAAATCATTTGCTTCCTAGTGCTTCCACTTCTTAAATTGGGTAGAGGAGAGAAAAGGAAGGTGAGAAGGTAGCAGAAAAAAACACTACCCTCACCAGAAAAAAAAAATATTAAGAATAATTCAGAATTTGCTCTTGAAACACCTAATAAATTTTTCCTATAATTTATGAGAAACATTTACTTTCATTTTCTGATTTTTTAATTTAAAAAAGTTTGTCTTCCTTATATAGGAAGTAATATTTGATTTTCTCCTCTGCCTGAAAGTGATCTCTTTGCAAATGGAAAAGTAGGAGAAACAGAGCTGGGAGTACAGTAACCTGGGACAATTGATTTCCTGTTGGTTACCTTGTAATTTCTGGTTGTATTCGGTCCTGTCAGACTGGCTTCTCCTCAAGGAACCAGAGTGGTCCCCAGAAGCACTGCTCTCAACCACAGTGTCCGTCTTCCTTCTCTCCAGCATATAGAGCCTGGGCCTCAAGAAGGTCAGATTCCTTTTCTTGGTGCCCATGCTTTCTTTCCCAGGGGCTTCCTTTGGCTCCATCCAAGGCAAAGACAAGCTTTAGAAGCCTGCAGGTGACGGCTGGTTGCTGGTGTGCCTCAGGGTGAGAGGTAAAGCCACAAGTACCCCGTCTAACTGCCCCCTTCTAACTGAACAGCCTCACTCCGGGTTTACCTGGCTGCGACTCCACCTTCAGAATCCCAGAGCTCCACCCCTATGAGGTCATTCTTTTTTATGCCGAGAATTCAGCAGGGAAGCTGCCACCTGTTACCTGAGAGACCTGCAGCACAGAGCTAGGCAAAGCAGGGACTGCGCTGTCACATGCCACGGAAACAAACAAAACCCCATTGTGTAGGGTGAGAGCTGGGGGTTGGGGCAAACGAAAGAGAACAGGGTGTTGCAGGGAGGAAGAGGAGTGCTCATGAGTGTGGCCCGCAGCCTACAGGTTTGGTGTGTGCCCATGGGCATGTACAGGTGCCCTGGGACACTGCAGGAGGCCGGCTGCCTGCACTCAGACATGGGCTTGTGTGTGACCTTCATCTACAGTCACCTGCATGTGAGCCACAGGCTTAGTGTGGGGCTATGGGAATTTGCATTTGCCTCATAACAGTGGGTATAGAATCATTTAAAAGCGTTATTGCATGTCTTCAAAGTCATGCTTCCACCTTTAAATACCTAACATTCAAAGATTAGTTACTAAAAACATATTTGCAAAACGCTGATCCATATTCCTGAGGAAACAAGCTTTCACATTTAATTGGGGTCTGGCAGCAAGCACCAGAGGAGGTAATGTCCACAGAGGCCCGGAGGTTTTTGATTTCTCCCTTTTACCCGTGTCCCTTGCCTGAAATTAATCCTTTCACAGTCCCAGCCTTGTCCTTCTGAGCCCTGGTCCTTAGGAAAATAAGCAATATGTCAGCGTGTGATTTCTGGGAGATCTTTTCCCCATCCCTTCCACAGATAGTGCCAGAAAAAGGCAGCTCCTCTTGGGAAAATAAGAGCAGGAAAAACGTTTGAAACAGGAGATGTGTAGAAAGTGGAAAGGACAGGAGCAAGATTTGGGAGAAGAAAGGCAAATAGTGACGGGCCTGTCATTAATTTTTTTGAAGTTGTTTTTCATTATATTTACTGAGATTTCTCAAGGGGAAATTCTCAGAAGCTCTGGGAATGTGCTGAGTGTTTTGTATGCCCTCATTAAAGAAAAGAGAACCTCAGGAGGGAAATAGGTTTGTTTTTATTTTAAAGGTACTGTCAAAATTCAGCTTTGTGCTTGCTGCCTATTCTGAATTGTAGTGAACTCTTGTTAGACAAGGTTTATAAATGAAGAAAAAGAGATAAAAAAACATTTTTCCAACTCAAGATGTGTGGGCTGAATGCAATTTGCATAATTAGCTTAAAAAATAAATGACAAATCTTTACCCACTATAAAGACATCTATATATAGCTTGGCATATTAAATGGCTTTTATTAATATAATGGATAGTCTTTTTTTAACAAGCCCCCCCAAGTACATTTAATAAATGCTTTTAAAGGCATATTCACTGCTTAGATATAAAATGAGCTTTTCTGACTCATGTTAAGACTGTCTCAATTGTATTCTAATATTATAAATATGTTTATATGTATTTATACATACATTATATATAAATGTTATATATATACACACATTATGAATACATGTATGTATTCACCTGGTAATTAACAGAGATATACTATTTAGATATAGTACCACTGTAAAATTGTACAATTAAAGCTATAGATAGGACTTGGGGGAAATATGGGGTTAGAGACACAGCACTCAAAAACTTTGTCAGTGACCCGTAAGAAAAACAGAGAGGAAACTAAAAAACCATGGTGGCATCACTTTACATTTGGCAAATGGTTAAGAGCTGCATTAAGACTCTAATAATGAAATATGGTACTTTATACTGGAAAGGAACTAAGGGCTGCTTGGAATCTCACCAGTCACCATGGTGGAGGGAAAGGAAGCTATAGCAAATCACACATTGGTACCTAACACTTCTCCGAAGTGGGCTTTAGAAGGTTCACAGCCTATGAGTCATAGTGAAGTGATGGGAGAAGCAGCATTTGAAATCAGATGGACACGTATGCCAGCTGATGGGGATGAGAGTGGCTCATACCCAGACAGTGTAGTGCAGTCATGAGTAATTTTGGAGGGTGAACATGTGTGAGTTTTGTGTATTCCTTTGTGGTTCAGGCCATCTGGATACCGTTTTCTGCATTCACCTAAGGTTTCAAGTGGATGAAATCACCCATCAGCAAATGTGAAGTTGTGTTATGCTCAAACAGTTCCCTAATATATCAATTTCGTTGGAACAAATTTATGTTTTCAAAACAAGCATTATGACTGAACTGATTGTAGTAGCTTTATAGTATTTTTAAGTTCTGTCAATTGAGAAGATACATAACATAGTTACTATGGATTCAGTAGTAAATATGTATATTGTTTATTCATAATAGTTTAAAAATAATAGATAAATTCTTTCAAAACTACTTTTTAATCAATTTATGACTGGGGCAGCCACTGTTGTTTGCTTTTTCCATATTCATCCTCTCACCTCCCATGCCATTCTTTGCCAACAGAACCCTTTTTTGTTCAAAGAAGCAGTAGGTCTGGCCAATCATAATGATAATTTTGTTCCCTATTTTTCCAGTTTGTCTTGCTGCTAGGGGTGGCTGTGTATTCCCAGTCCTGGAAATGAGACCTCAGTGATAGCCTGCCAGAAATGGGGGCAGTGTGTTGATTCAGTAAAAGCTTTTGCTTCTCTAATAAAAGGTGTTGTCATTGCCGGCTTCAACCTTCCCCCTTTGCCCAGACGTGATCTCAGTTATAGTTCGGGGAGCAGTCACAACACCCTGTGTCTGTGAGAAGGACTGAGAGAACCGTGGGCTCTAATACCACTGAGCTACTAACCAATGCCAGTTGCCATCCACCTTTAGACTTCTAGTTATGAGGGTAAAATGAACCTGTCTTCCTAAAACCATTGTTAGCTGGAGTTCTCGTGAACACATTTCTAATGGATTCAGCAGACAGACAATGCTAAATACATATATGGATTCCCAGATCTCTTGCTTATCCCTTTTGACCCTTTTTAAGCCAATGTTTAGAAACACCAGCATAAAACATGGTTTAGTTTTTCTGGAAATTAGAACAACCAGGTTAGAGAGATTTATGTGTTTTGCCACGAGAGAATTTGCTAGGACACAAATGAGACTGGAGGGACAAGGCTCCTAACATGTCTGTTTTGTGTTTTATGGAAGAGGCCCAAAAGTATCTTAATACAAGGATTTGGTATTAAGTAAATAAATTGTTGCTATTAAGGCATTTAAATTAATTTTATTGGGAACAATGCACAAACGGTTGCTGTTCATCATTTTAAAAAGCACTAGGCAGGGAATCCAAGATTTAGTTTCAATTTTGGCTATGACATAAATCAACTTCATGATATTACCAGTGGCATATCTCTCATGGTCCCAATTTCTTCATCTGTAGCATGTAAGGGTGAGTTAGTATTTAGTGTATTCATTGAGTATCTTCAATTCTCCATTTAGGCACATGGGAGTATTGCACTGCCCTGTACCCTTTCAATTTAGATGTGGCCATGTAACTTGCTTTGGCCAAAGAAACTGATTAAAAGTGATGTAGTCACTTCGGAGAGGTGTTAGGCACCAGTGTGTGATTTGCTATAGCTTCCTTTCCCTCCTCCGTGGTGATTGGTGAGATTCCAGGCAGTGTCTGCTCCATCGGATGAGTCCTAGAATGGCAATAACTCAGAGCAGGGCCTCCAACCACCTGATAATGGCTGTGTTGTTTGAGAATGAAAGAATACTTTGCTGCTGTAAGCTGCTGAGATTTGATGCTTTTATTTCTTATTATTTCTTAAGGATAGCTTAAACTACCCTTGTTGATGTAGCATGTAGATTAAATGATACAGAAACCTTTTTCAGGTCCAGCATTATATGATTTCCAGATTCTAAGACCCAAAGTCCCTTTAAGCTGTGAACCTCCTAATTCCAAAACAGAAATCACATTTCTTCAATAATATCATGAATAAACTGGATTAGAGGAAGGAGAAGAACTTATGTTAGGAACTTAATATAGGAGTCTGGGCAAGAAATGCTTTGAATGTGCTAGTGGCGGTAGGGATGGAGAAAAATTGATGAATTCAATACATTTTGAAAGTTGAGGAGACTAAACTTGTATGTGGCTCAACTGAGATGCATGAGTAAAAAAGCCATAACAGATAGACTCTAGGTATTAAGATGGAATAATTGGGAGGATATTGGTGCTGTATGCCAATATAGGACAAGGAGAGAGTCAGTTTGGTGGGATTGTCAAGGATTCCATTTAGGATACATTATGGTTAAGATGCCTGCAAGTTATTCAAGGGAAGTGTCAGGTAGGTGGCCTTTGGATTTGTAAATTTGGAGTCACTATTTAGATTTCAGATGAAAAAAATTGGAAATAATCAGACTATGCATAATATTTATAGCCATGGCTTAATGAGACCAGTTTAGGAAGAAAATAAATCCAGAACATAAGGACCAAAATCAAGCCCTGAAGAACACTTAAGTTTAGAAGTGGAGTTGAATGGAAACCCCCTCAAGGGAGACAAAGAGAGTAGCCACCAAAGTGGGAAAAAGCTGGAGCATTTGGCATCACAGATGTCCAGAAGCAAGTTTTTACAAAAGGAAGGGGTAGTTAACCTGGTGAGGGGCAAACAAAATGAATATGGAAAATAGCTCTTTTAACTTGGCACAGTGCTGATCATTTAGTAACTCTTCAGGAGGAGTGTCAGTAAGAAGGTAGAGGTAAAAGAATGGAAGAGAGCGCATTAAAGGAGGGAAGGAAGCTGAAACCGGGATGAGCACCTCTGAGAAAATATGCAGTAATTTATTACTGCTCAGCAATTACTAAATGTAAGGATTATGTCTAGGTGAATAGTGTGTAAGGTAGAATCATATCCATGTTTTTCAGATACAGCAACGGGTTTAGTAATTTTGCCAAGATCATACCTGTA